ACCATATGTGAGCTGCAAAAATTGCTTTGCTGCCATCTAGTGGTCATCCAGATTTTTGAACTCTAGACAAAAACCTTATAGCCCTAAGCCTAGGAACTTTTTGAGAGGAAATGAATTGCAATGAAATAAGTAGACGTTGTTTGCAATTTAGTGGCAAGTCTGATAAACTGAATTCTAGAATAGAAACCACAGCATAAGGGAGGATGAAATCACAATGTACCATGAAAATACAACAAATGCATGCAATAATAGCATTATCTCATCAGTTTAAAATATTTTGATCAACTATGAGATATTGAGTTAATCAATCAAGATTTTAAAAAAATCATTTTTAATATTACTTATAGCCTTTAGCTACAGTTTCTTCCAATTTCTTTGAGTGAATTCAAAAGCATTACACCAATATGACTGCTTTTATGAGCGCTACATAACTACTCTGGAGTTACTGTTATGGTCTATCAAGTCTATCTTGACTCCTGGTACTACAAGGACAGGTCCGTGCAGCATTTCTTGGCAAAGTTTTCAGAAGTGGTTTGCCAATATCTTCTTCCAGCAAGTTTTCAACTTCCCAGGCTAGCACTGATTTAGAATGCCTGGCCCAAAATCACTCAGCTGGTTTCTGTGCCTAGGGAAGGACTGGATCTATAGCACCTTTAACTACTGGTACTCCAAGCTGGCTTAAACTACCCTACTACTCCTTAAAATATTAGTATATACATATAATGTATATACAATTTATGTTATTTGAATATACATACAGACAATAAAAATGTGCTGCATTTTAGCAATGTGTAAGACCAGAATTTGTAGAACAATACACATACTGAAAATGTCTTTACCTTGTTTATTAATTCAAAACGTGGTGTTGTTCTTGCTCCCATGGTGTACCCTTTAGTACTCTCTGGTCTGTTAGCCAAGTTATATATAAGGTTGTTCCTCTACATATTAAAAAAAATGCTAAAGTTATTCTACCCTACCATAACAGAAAAAACAATGTACAACAGCATAATACAGCCTGCAAAATGAAATACCTTAGGTTTCAAAATAATAATAGTAATAACAGAAGTAGAACGACGGTAGCAAAAGAAAGCAAAGATAGTACCAATAGTAATCGGCGCCTTAGGTGCAATCCGAAAACATCTGGACCACCACTTGAAGACCACTGGCATTAACAAAATCACCATCCGTCAATTGCAAAAGGCAACTTTACTTGGAACAGCTTACATCCTGCAAGGATACCTTTAGCACCATCAAACAACATCTGCTTATCCCAGGTCTTTGGGAAGGTGCCTAGCTGCGCGACTAACAACAACAACAATAATAATTGAAATACTTTCTATATTCATCTTCCTAGCTCTATAGCATAGAGTGATGTGACTAGAGGTTTCAGCCCTTCCTCATCCTTTAAGATAAAAATCTGACTTGAAAGAGATGAACAAAATCAAACTGCATTTAAAAGAATAAATAAAATGATACAGAAAACTTAATTTGCAGTATTCTCAGCTGACCATAGGATGATATGGTCTGCTATACTTAATAAGCTAGGGCATGATCTCCATTCCCAAATAAGATTTCTAATTAAGAATAAGACTTAATTAGAATACACAGACAATTAAAAAATCAACACTGGAGTTGGGTGGCCAATAAATTTAAAGAAAAGAAAAGAAAAGAAGCACCCTACCTAAACTTGATTACCTATTTTTTTCTTAAACAGAATTCTCTCAAAGCTATCGCCCGATTGTTTCCCTAGCTTACTGGGAGAATTCGAGCCACTTATCAGAGCTGTTGAGGAAATGGTACACCCCACTTGTTTTCCCAGCTCTGGTACAGTAACTTCCTGCACCATTTCCCACATTTCTTCCCTACTTTTTAAAAGGACAAAACTTTTTCTGATCTAGGAAGGGGATGAGTTGAGGCATCTGACTGTGTCCATTTGCCAAAGACTTCTCTCTTCCCATGTGGCAGAAGGCACTTTTCCCTCTTGAATATGGACTGAAACTCAGACAGTGGCCATAAACTGGATGTCTGTCAGTGAACACTGGGTGGGGGTTTGCAGCCTGCACATTCAGTACACAAAATATTAGGATTTGTTAGTCTAAATGATAGAACTTCTAGTCATGGATTTTTCCTGGAAACAATCATGTGAAGTAGGTGGAGCTGAAAGACAATATCAAGCAGAGTCATCTCATGAAAATTATACATGAATGGGGTTCAATTGTGGTCTCTCAAGTCCCTGAAAATATTCTCTAATCATCTGTACTCTTTTGTAATATTTTCCAGGACAAGGGACATTGCTTTTATTTACAATGTACAGTAGTATCTCTACTTACGAACGCCCCTACTTACGAATTTTTCGAGATATGATCAGCTTCGGCCCCAAAAATTTACCTCTACTTGCGAACTCGCCTCGATTTACAAACCGGATCCGCGGCCATTTTCCGCCCGTTCTACGTGGTCTGCGGCCATTTTCTGCCCATTCCACATGGTCCGCGGCCATTTTTCCACCCGTGCCACGTGGTCCGCGGCCATTTTCCGCCCATTCCACATGGTCCGCGGCCATTTTCCGCCCGTGCCACGTGGTCCGCGGCTGTTTTTCCGCCCTGCCGCGTGGTCCGCGGCCATTTTCTGCCCATTCCACATGGTCCGCGGCCATTTTCTGCCCATTCCACATGGTCCGCGGCCATTTTCTGCCCATTCCACATGGTCCGCGGCCATTTTCTGCCCATTCCACATGGTCCGCGGCCATTTTCTGCCCATTCCACATGGTCCGCGGCCATTTTCTGCCCATTCCACATGGTCCGCGGCCATTTTCTGCCCATTCCACATGGTCCGCGGCCATTTTCTGCCCATTCCACATGGTCCGCGGCCATTTTCTGCCCATTCCACATGGTCCGCGGCCATTTTCCGCCCGTGCCACGTGGTCCGCGGCTGTTTTTCCGCCCTGCCGCGTGGTCCGCGGCCATTTTCCGCCCGTTCCACGTGGTCCGTGTTCATTTTCCCACCCATTCCATGTGGTCTGTGGCCATTTTTCCGCCCTGCTGTGTGGTCCGCAGACGCCGGAATGGATTAATGGTAATTACATTGAACCTTATGGGAAAATTTACTTCGACTTGCGACCAACTCGACTTGCGATCAGAGTCACGGAAAACCTTATGGGAAAATTTACTTCGACTTGCGACCAACTCGACTTGCGATCAGAGTCACGGAATGGATTAAATTCGTAAGTAGACGTACCACTGTATTCAAACTTTGGAAGCAATTCAAAAGGTAATCAAGATAATGTAAATAGTAAATATCCTTTCTTTACTTCAAATTAAAGATCTCTGGAGAGAAAATAAAGAAAAATGAAAGGGAGCACTACTTACCTCTGCATGGTTATAAGCTCCTGGTCCACGATCAGGATCACCTTTAATTGGTATATATGCATTACCTAATCGGTCTGGTGCATGAAAAAAGGGGAAAATTTTCTTTTCCTGAGATGACCCAAATGAATTTCGCTTCTGTACATCTGCAAACCCCAATGAGAGTTTATGTTAGTCAAAACACTATGTTTTAGAATGTCCTACAAAATTAAGATACAGAAATGGCAGGATGACACCTCTTATCTACTGGACTAACTCTTCAGTGAAACACAGAATAGAGCCAGCCAGTCAATTTCATTTCATTTAACCACCAGGAAATTGCATAAAAACATAATTAAAAAGGAAAAATAGAGGTAGTCCTTACTTACCAAGTGCCTCATTCAGTGACCATTCAAAGTTATGATGGTGCTGAAAAAATAGGTTTATGACCGGTCCTTGAACTTGCAGCCATCGCAGCATCCTTGCGGTCACATAATTGTGATCTGGGCACTTCACAACCGGCATACATTTATGATGGTTGCAGCATCCCACAGTCATGTGATCACCATTTGCGACCTTCACAGATGGCTTCCAACAAGCAAAGTCAATGGAAAAGCCGGTAGGAAGTTGCAAATTGCGGTCATGTGATGTTGCACTTAACGATCTGCAGTGATTTGCTTAATGGCTGTAGCTGGAACTGATGTCGTAAGTCCAGCACGGTCAGATGACATTTCACTTAACCGTGTTGCTTAGCGACAGGGTTGCTGGTCCTAACTGTGGTCAGTAAGTGAGGATTACCTGTAACTGTATTCAGACTTACATCATCTGTTGTCTCAATTTTATTGCAGCAACACAAAATTTAGCTGGTTTACAGATAATTTCATATCTGAGAGGAGGTTCATATAATAATCATCTCTTTAATAATTGTCTGATGCAGTAGGGGTATACCAAATATCCTTATAGAAGATACAATATACAGTTGTGGCACACAATAAGCTGTTTTTAGACCCCCAGATCTGCATGTGCTTGGCCAATGGGGTTTTAGAATACCTACCATACAAAAGTTCAGAGGGATGTTGGGCCTATCTTTCCTCACCCCGGGAAAGGTAAGAGTGTTTAAATATTTTTGCAGCTTCCCAAGTACCATTTACAAACCAAGTTTTATTTCTCAGTGACAACCTGTTCACTTCAACCTGATACTCCATACTCTCACTTTGAGAGAACATATATTCCACCTGATCATATCCCCCAAATATTAAACATGCTGCTAGTAAACCATATGATGCTAGTTTTTGTTCTATTGCAGCTTTCCAGTTTGAAAAATAATTGGCTACAAAACCAAAAGCAATAAACCTGTGGGTAAGTACTGGGTTTTCAGATACAACCTAATCATTACTCTCCAAGTCCAACCTCAGTTTCAGGCATTTCCTCCATTAATTTGAGCAGAACACTAGCTACCTCCTAGCTGCAGCAACTACTGCATGGACCTAAAGTATTTGGCTTGTGTTAGCTCCAATGAGTCTATCTTAGCTCACTTGTGCACCATACAGAATTTAGGTGAGGATTTTAGCTTCAAAGTGGTGCAAGTATTAATTTTCCTTCTTTAGTAAAAAAAGAAACACTTGGCACAGTTGAAGATCTTGAAACCAATGGGGAAGATGTGCTGTTATGTGCATTCCAAATCTCTTTGGAATGGAAAGATCCCTTTCAAGTGGAGACTAAAGCCAGCTCACTTGCTATCATTAGCATACAATTTTAAAGGCCTTTCCAGATAAGTCTAAATGCTAATCCTTTTTAAGACTACTGATTCTGGAGTCCACATTTATGTGATCACTGCTACCCATGACAGTTTTTCTGGTTCACCAGCTGGCATAAATTGGCATAATAATGGAACTAGTATGGGGCTATATGATTTGTACAACTGCTTTTCCACACAGAGAGGATAAGGACAGCTTTAAAAAATTTCTTGCTTTCCTTCGTTGTACTGAATTGAGGCTATGTCTATAAGACCTAGCCTAAATGAGACAAAATTGGAAACAAGTCATTTTCCAATGATGGAGACAATGAAAGACACTGAACCCCCTCTCACTCTCCACAGTGAGATTTGGTTATTATTTTGAGTGGTAAGTGTGCATCTGATAATCTTTAAAGGACTAGAAATATTTTCAATTAAATATAAAGAAAAAAATTCTAACAGTACAAGTGTCAGTCTTACTCTTGGGAAGCAAAACTTTGTTGAAACTTCCAGAAAATTTACATCACACAGGATTGAATCTTTATTGTAACTTATGTACAATAGCCATTACATTCGATAATCTCTGACCATTCAGACTTATTCCCAAAATTATACCCTCCTTGGATTCATATTCGGCCCCCTTTTTTCCCATGTTTTCCTATGTACATGTTTTCCAATATACACATTTTATTCACCACACTCAGTTGGTGGCAATTGCCTGTTTACATTCTCTGAATTTCTGCTCTCAGAAATTCAACGAGTTCTTCAACAACTGGGAGATAGCAGACTCTCCTTTTTGGAAAATAGTTAGCAGAGGCTGGGCAATCATCTCTCGCAAATGCTGCAGTTGGAAGATTCCTACAGTAAATGGAGTTTGGACTAGATAACCTCTAACAAATAGTCCAAGGCCAACTTTCTATGATCTCTCTCTGCAGTGACTTAAACCTGTTCTCTAACTAACATGTTAGTTTGTCCCCTGTGATAATTTATTGATGAGAGAGAGGAGTACTCCATGGAAGTTTAGAGTATTGTACTAATTTATTCACTTGTTCCAGGATTAAGCCGCCCAGAGTCACTGGTTTGAGATGGGCGGCTATATGAACTGAATGAATGAATGAATCCCTGATGTTCAGATCAGTTTCTTGATTATATCTTGGAAAGCTTCAAGTAGATTTTTTTTTTTTTTTACTATTACCTGTTCTGAGATAAACAATGCTGTCTATTTGACAAGAAAGAAAATATATTGTTAAAGGTCCATAATGTGACACTGAAATTTGAAACTCCACAGCAAATACATATTTGGCAGACAGGTGTTATATATCCATCTAATTTCACTCCTACTTAAATGATGGGACAAAAGAACTTCATTATCTTTAGTATTGTAACATATTAGATAGTATTTTTAAAGAAGGCTATATATAACCACGGCTTATCTACATTTATTCTGGAACCTGAAGCAAACAATTTCAGAAATGCCTTCCTCTTCCTTGCAAATTAGCAATAAAAACACAGTAAATTAAATGTAATTGGGAGCAGCCTCTTCATAAAATCTCCTATCGCTTGATTTAAGCAGCTGCCTCAGCGTCCTGCTCAGAGCTCTGTCTTTAAATTGGTGCTTACTGCTCAGTTCCCATCCCGCGTCCTGGCTGCGTTGGAAATCCAACCGCGTCCGCAACCGCAAGTCAAGACGGCCCCATGTCGTGCTCCCCAGCTGACTCATGGGAATCCCGAAAAGCAAAGTTTACGGGATCGCGAAAATCAGAGGATTTCCCTTCCTTCCACGCTACCATATCTCCGCAGAGGGAGAAAGCGCTTCGCGGGCGACCCGCATCCCTCTCCAGCCGAGCCACGGCGCTCCCCTCCGCGGCGTTCCGACGGCTGGGACAAAAGAGAACGCCTCGCGCGCCTTCTGACCAATCCCCGCCCGACTCACCTGTGAGCTCCCACGCAAGCTGGCGGTGGCTGGGGATCATTGCGAAGGCGTCCAGTTGTTTAGCGCCCGATGCTTGCCATGGAAACAGCGGTGGGCCGGGCCCCACACTGGAGTACTGAAGCGACGGGCCGCCTGCCGCGCGTTTAGAGGCGAGGGCTTGGGCCGCATCTGCAAAGGCGGGGAGAGAAATGCTGGAGAGGCGCGCAGCGTTGTGTCTGGGGCGGGCAGCTCAGGCAGGCTACGAAAACCGAGCGACTTCTAGATGGCAGCAGCAGAATTATCGTAGTTCTTTACTGCCAACTAGTGGTCATCCGGATTTTTGCAGCGCGGTTATGGACAACCCTACGTTGCCTGGCAGCAAGTACTCGGTAGGCGGGGAGAGTATAACCTCGCCCCTCTAGCGTTCGCGGCGGGCTCAGTCCCCGAGTAGTGCTTTCAGCTACGGGGCTCAACTCTGGCTGGAAGGGAGAAGCAGGACTGCAAAGAAATGGGCTATAAAGGAGTGCCGTGTGTTTACCCTTCCCTCGCCCCTCTGGCAGCTAATGCCAACTCCGCACCTTTGAGGACGGGCGGAGGAATACCTCCGAGTTCTCCTTGGACGAGGAAAAACAGAAATCGCCCTCGCCTTTGGAAATAAAGGGCTGGCTGGGCCAACGGAATTATTTTTCTTATTATGCATTGTTATTTTGAAGGCCCTAAAACAGCCTATTTCTATACAGTGGACAGTGGATGTTGAAAACAGCTGCTCAGCTGATTCAGAAATGCTATAGCTGGCAGAAGGTGAGCAACAGCATTTCTTGACCTTGAACAAACTTGTTTGGTAGATTTGAATTCCCAACCAGAGACCTGCTTATCTATAAAGCACTATCTTTCCTAGCATATGCTTAACCCTAAACTATTCAGCTATACAGTACTTAAATACAAAGATAAAATGACACATCTATGCTTAAGTAATTAAATCCAATTATATTCTGCCTCAATCACAAAGGCACTTCTAGGCAGTTTACATTTTAGGATTAAAAACAACAGGATGGTAATAAAAATAAACAATAATACCCAATGGTAGATCAGAAGAAACAAAAAATCCAGTCCCAGTCATAAGACATAAATCCAATATTGATTACAACCCAACCTAACCCAGGGCCTGTTGCAAAAGGCAGGGATTTAAAGATTGGAGAAAGCAGGGTCAGGGCCATATGGACTTAAGGGAGAATGTTCTTCCATGGGGCAGGTACAACCACAACAAATGCCTGATTCCTAGGTCCCACAAGATGTCATTGGTTGGGCAGAAACAATGGGAGAAAGCTGATCCTAAGCCATGTACAGGTGACAACTAGCAGCTTGAATTGCAGCTAGAAACCCACTGATAGCCAGGGCAACTCACGAAGTAGAGGTTTCATGTAGGCAAAATGAGAAGTGCCCATAGCTACTGTGTAGGCTGTAGCTTCTGAATGGTTTTCAAGGTTAGTCCCAGGTAGACTGTGTTACCGTGTTCAAATGAGAGATGATTAAGATATGAATGCTTGTGAGAAGCCCCCTTCATTCCAAGAAAGGACAGATTTGGTACACAAGATGGATGGATGCAAAAGCCTCCTCACCATGGATGCCACAAGCTCATACAACCAAAACTCCAGGAGGACTCCCAAATTACACATGAGTTCCACCTGGAGGCATGCATCGTCACTGAGTACTAACAATAGTCCTTGGAAATAGAAGGTCCTTGAATCCAATGCCACTTGGATTTGCCTAAGCCTGTTCCTCTCCATCCAGATCCCTTACAGCCTCCTGGCACCTGGACAAGACTTCCACAGCATCACCTGTTCAGCCAGGTATGAGATATAAAGCTGGGTATTGTCCAGTACTGAGGATACTTGATCCCATGCTGATGGATTACTTCACCCAATGGCCTCATGTAGATGTTAAATAAAAGTAGGAGAGCGTTGAGCCTGTGGGACCCTGCAGAAGAAGGGCCTCAAGCTTACCGTCCCACCTACTGAAACCAACCTCAGAGGAAGGGGGAGGACTACTGCAACAGTTCTCCCATTCCCAGACTCTGGAGTTGGTTTACAAGGATACTGTGATCAATGATATTGAAAGCTGCTGAGGGATTGAGCAGGACCAGGGGAGCACATTTATCCCAGACCTGTCGGAGGTCATCCATAAGCACAAACAATGCCAGCACTGTACTGCTAAAGTTGCCTAAAGCCTAACTAAAAAGGGTCCAGATAATCTGCTTTCTCCGGGCCTGTTTCATGTTTGTCATCTCTGTTAGTATATATGTGTGACTATACGTGCTAACTCTAACTATATAAGTTCCTCAATTAAGTAACATTTATCTAGCAGATGCTGAAATGTTTATTTTCCAAATATTTCCTTCACTAAAAAAGAAAGCTTAAGTACAATTAGATTGGACTGGATTTTCCTTCCCCATATTGATTTTGGTCAGTTACTTTGTTGTTCCTTACCTTTTCTGTACACTCATGTTTTACAGATCCATTGTTGTGGTTAATCTCTGTGTTATATGTAATAGTGGGAAAAAATACTGAATTGGGTCTGATTGTGAGCTTTGAGATACTGAGAGAAATGAAACCACTTGGATAAATAAAAGCATTTTAAATAGATCCCATTATTCAATACTTCATGCACCTTTTCTGAAGTATGTTCAAGGGGGCTTACTTTTAGCTAAGGTGATAAAGAATTTCACAGTAGCAGTACTTATGTGCTTACCTGTATGATGTTCTGGCATGATACAAACTCTGGTTTAGGTGATCTAGGAACTGAATGATAGAAAATTTAATGGGAATAGGTCAGAATAGGGTCTCCCTCTCAAATCATTAGTGGTTATAGGACAATATAATCTTCAGCATTGACATCATATAATTATAAGCCTGGGTCACTTTGGTTTAATTATGACACATAAACTACATCATATTTTTAAGACAGGGCAGGCTTAAACTACCAGATTTAAAGCTTAGTTTTATTCAATTAATCTATTTGAGTAATTTGAAAAAAAGTTTTCAAAAAGACAAGTTTTGAAAAAATTTACTTGTGCTACAGAACAAGCCATTATACTGGGAAAAAGTCTAGTTTCAATCATTGGGAGTATGAATGAACTGCTGAGAAGTTAGTCTGAAAGTATTTTGGATACTTAGCTGTTGTGAATGGCAACGCGCATTCACAATACTGCATATTGTTGGCCTTATGCCAATCAATATTTATTCTGAATGAGGCATGGCTTTGGGGGCCATGTACAGTGGCAGATTGTTTGAGCCCCTCTCTCTTTGCTGGAATAGGAAAATTTGGAATCCTTTTAAAAACAAAGGAAGAAACTGTAGACAGAAGCTGGGAAAAGAAGCCTCACAATTAATTTATTGGAATCCCCAGGAAGTTGGATGTCCAGGAATAATTGAGACAAAGGGAACACCAGTTTCAGGAACCTGCTATCTCTGAAAAGGAAACGTTTAGCTAGTTGCATTACATTTAATTGTGTATATTTCTGCCCTTATACATCAGTTATGTATGAGGAAACAACTTTTTTGAATCTTTTCTGATCTGTAATAATTAATCTGAAGCTCTAGTATCTTTCTTTAGATCTGAGCAGAATGCTAATTTGTAGCAGACCAGTAACTATCGTACAATAACCTTAATTTCACATGCTAGCAAAATAATGCTTAGGATCATCCAATACAGATTAAAGCTCTGCATGGAAAGGGAGATGCCAAATGCTCAAGCTGGCTTTAGAAAAAGCCAAAGAACACACGACATTATTGGTGGTGAACACTGGATAATTGAGAAAGTCAAAGAATACCAAAAATAAGTCAATATTGGCTTTATTGATTATACAAAGGCCTTTGATTGTGTTGGTCATGTCAAACTATGGAATATACTGGGAGCAACCTGATTAGAAGAGAACATGGACTAGTGGTCCTGAGAATCCTCCATTGGAAAATATGACCGATAATCATCAACAGCCTGAAGAGAAGCTGAAAACCACCACCATTCATACCTAACAATTTCTGATTATCTTTCACTCCAGTATGAAGTATAGATTTATCAATAAAAAGGATGGGGATGGCTATAGTTAGGCTATACAAGGATTTTTCAGTTTCCTATTATTTTTTATAGAGAAAACATCTTCCATTTATCACATGGTTTCTTAATACAGATAACAAAACTGGCCTTTTATTTTGAAAAAATGAAGAACTAGAACCAGAAGCTAGAAAACAAATAAAAAATATATCACATGCCTTATATGTGAGGAGAACTTAAAATACTGGTGCTGACCCTAAGAACTAAAATAGGGTGTTAAATGTATTGTAACATGCACGTTTTTACATATGGAAATAGAGTTAGCTGGGTGAAGGGGTTGTGATAATTGCAATCATAAAAGGCAGAAAAGGGAGTTCAGTTCTTTCCTCATGATATCGCTGAGAGAATCCTCTCACCCAAAGGTGTTACTTGCACTGGGACAAGTCTTCCAATGGCCCAGCAGAGCCAGAAAGGATGAATCCTTTCCTGATGAAAAATAGGAATCACTTGCAGCATTTCAAATAAGGAAGATACTGGGGCTTTCTGCATGAATCTCTCTAAGTGCTACCCAGACACTTTAGTGCAGTTTAAAAAGCAAACCCTTTGGGCCTGTCTGTATGACTGCTAAGATCTTGACTTGTGTTTCTTTTTTCTGGACGTGTGGCAGGAAAGAGACTGAGAGTGGAAATCAGAAATAAGAGGCATTTAATGTTTGGCTTCCTCACCAGCATAGCTGTTAACTCCTGGAGGATAGAAATGATGCTGAGAACTTGTAAAACTGTGGAATAAGTTGGAGGGGGGAGTTACCCACAATCTCACTGGGCCTCCCCCAATAGAATAATGACTGTCCAGGGAAATGTTTGTAGAATCCCACAAATAGATAAATTTATTAAGGAAAACCAAATATAGGAAAACTGTCACAGACAAGCCCAGTTTGAGCTAGGGTTAGAGGCCATATCAAGGGCATGGCATGCAAATCTAGGGTAATGAAGCAGTTAAAAGGCTTGGTTT